CGGCCTGTTCTAAGGGGGAACAAATCAGTGTTTTGATTTGGGCATTATTTTGGTTCCTTTTGTTGGATGACAAAAGGGGGACAATCAGGTGCCTCTTTATGTGTTGATGCTCTACTATTTATGATTGATTGTTACTAATCTGCAGGGACACCTTTATTATGGCACCTAATGTTTGTCATCAACAAAAAGGGGGAATTTGTTGAGTATGTTGTTTTGTTGATGACTAACCATGCAGGTGGAACCGCGGACAGAACCGCTCACAGTTCCTTACGGAACAAGGACAGAACTATCCTCAAGACCAAATGGGTATTATTAGTGTGTTGTTGACTAACCATGCAGGTGGAACTAATGCAGAACCATTTCTAGTTCCGTGATATGATTTGAATTAATATTAATTGCACCTACTTGATTTTCAATTAATATACTTTCCTTATATGAGTGCTTATATTTGTCAAGAATATTATTTTAAGTAAAAGTATCTTTCTATGCATGTCCACTCTATATATACGTATTTTGGTTATATGAGTACTTATTTGGGTGTTTATTATCTTTCCATAGTTGACTAGACATCCACTCATTAAATATTGTTTAAATACTTTATGGAAAGTATCTTTACTTAATGTGAGTGCATGATCCACTCATTAAATATTGTTTAAATACTTTATGGAAAGTATCTTTACTTAATGTGAGTGCATGATCCATATTTTATTGGCTATATACGTAGCATGCTTGTAATTGATTAACAAATATTTTATTGCCTTGCAATTTGAAAAGTCATTATTTATTTGAATATCAAATGAATATTTGTGGAGCAAAGAATCATGATTTACGTGGCAATAATTAAGCTTGCTTGTATATATTGATAAGTTAACCTTTATGGAAAGAATCATTATTTATGCTACATAAATATCCTGCACAAATTGACCGTAGCATATTTAGATCCACTGAGTAAATATTTCCTTATCACTTAATGTTAAAAAGTCATAAATTTTGGAAAGTATCTTGAGTTGCATGATCTGTAGCATCTTATTTGAATATCTTACTTATATGATCGTTACATATTCAAACTTGTTAAAGAGAACTAATCATTGATTATATAAATATGTTGTTGCTACATAATGTCCGTTGGTTGCTTATATTAAGAGAATAAAATATTCTCCTTATATGTGATACGTAATATTCTCCATATCTGTTTTGTTATTGAGTGATTTACTCATAATATACTTCCATATATATGGTTGACCGCGGATCACCATAATTGAGAGCCGGAAGATCTTTTGAATAAAAGGAAAGGAGAGGCTACGGATGCTATATATATTGGACTGAAGACCAGACGAAAGGGGTGTGCTTGACCGAGCTTCTATTGAGAAATATACACGAGAATATTCACTAAGTCCAAGGCACCTGAACCTGCTCACGGAGTTCCAGACAGAGTTTCTTTTTCCCTTCTTCATATTGTAATTGGGTTTTTGAGGATTGGCTAAGTGTAGCATCCTCGGGTTGGTTAGTGTGTTGTGAGAGCTTTGTTGTAAAGCTGAGAGGCTCTCTACCCGCAAGGTAGAGATGCATAACTCTTCCTAGAGAGGATAGAGTTGGGGTGGCTCAAGGGTAGACTAGGAGAGTTTCCCTTGTAATCATTCAAAGGCTTTTTAGTGGAGTTGTTCAAATTCCTCCGAGGGAGGTCGAGGTTTTTTTTAATCCCTTTGAGCCAAGGGATTTTTCCTCGTTAAATCCTTGTGCACTATACTATTTCGTAATTCCCTGGACCCCACACTAGAACTGTGCGAAAAACTGCCACGGTTCCACACACACACAATTCACCCCCCCCCCCCCCCCCCCCCCCCCCTCTTGTGTTGCTAACCGTTTCATCACAGTCTATAAGGGCTAAGATTACTTCTCACTTCTCATTTTAAGGGACACTTCTCACCTGAACTTTTCTATATATATATATATATATATAATTATTATTACTACTATTATTATTACTATAACAACCACAATAAGTATAATAAATATACTAATAAATAATAATAATAACAATAATCATTATAAATTAACTTCGTAAGCATGGACAAGTGGTTGTTAGGTGGGAATTAGCTTCATCTTTATTTAGTGTTTGTTTGTATGAAATATGAAGTAATTGCTTAATTTGGTGCTTAAAATGTAGGATTATAAATAATGTAATATCTTGAAGCACTATATTTGGAACAACGAACACTAGTAGACTATGGAAGGTCACCCCTGTTTCAAGTAGAGATATTGTCCAATATATCCCTAATCTGATTAATTAATTTTAAAACAAGACTTATTCGATCCTATTAAAATATAAAAATCTGAAATACTTTTAAAATTAAAAACTTAAAAAATAAATAAAAATAGATAAACCACATTAAAAATATAAAAAAATTATAGAGGCCTTTCCCGTAGCCTCGGTCACCGCCCCAATGTCACCTCTGATTGTTGTTACATGCGACCACCCCGGACATAGCTGAGATTTTTCTACCGACTACTACTACCAATTGATCAAACTCCAAATATCTTATATCTAATCCTCAAACTATGCAGTTTCACCCAATAACCCAATTCACCTTCTATTAAAGAAAATCTCAATATCAATCTCTTCTCATTTTATAGTTTAATTCCTTTTATTCTTATTCATATATTTCCCTTACTTCTAAGAATATTAGTAATTAATGATTTATATTATTTCATAATTTGGTGTAGCTTAAATTCAAATTAGTGTACTAGTAGTATAAATTACGTTTATTCCGTTCTTACTTATTTCTTTATTTTATCGTACCAAAAATAATTAATAATACTAAATAAATTATTTAAATTATGTTAATAATTTTTGTTCAGGCAGATTATAACTTCTAATATTTTGTTAATTTGATTCATCCGAATTATTAACCAAGTCCAATATCAACAACATAATATATAATACAGAGTACTAATTAAGGAGGTCAAGACTAGAATATCAACTATTCATATTAAAATTTAGAATTATTAAATGGTCGGGTCGTTAAGTTGATTTATATGAATTCAACTTGATAAGTAAAATTTGTATGTCCTAATTTAATTTTTTAAACACGAAAAGTAGTTATTACCGTTGTTGAAGTTTATGCCTCAACCCATAGGCCCAACACGTAACCTGGAGGTTTCGAATGAGTGATGAGCAAGTAAAATGCAGAAGTAAGCAGGAAATATGTCAAACAACTGTGTTTACTAAGCAACTCAACTGTTACAAGCCGAAGGGCCGAGCGTACTGTGCTATGCTACGAACTGCTATTACTGATAGAGATCTAGAGTGCTAAATTGCGAACTTCTTACAGTGAAATAAATGCGTAGTTGAGGGCGGCATTTATACAGTCAATACGTAGTTGGATGTGTCGACGTGGCAGGTTGAGGGCGGCATGATCCCAACCACCAAATCTTCTACATTAAATGCGCTTCCCCCCAGAATCTTGGTTTCCCGCCATTGGATAGGAACGTTCGTCCCCAAGGGCTTGGCCGCTGTCTCCTGCTGGGATCCCGATTCCTTATCAATGGGAGAGAGGACATTCGTCTTCTGTTGAGAGGCTACAATCCTTGACTTATCCTTGGGCCGCCCTTGGTCCTTTACTAAGAGGTGGGGACGTCCGTCCCCAAGTACCTCGTAGGGACCCAGGGCCTCGATACCTGCTGGTGACGGACTACGTACGTCCCCTGACACTTGGGCCTTGATATTGGCTGGTGGTGGACTACGTACGTCCCCTGGCCCTAGGCCTTGGTACTGGCCGGTGATGGACTACGTACGTCCCCTAGCCCTTGGTGCTTGACCTTTTTCCTGGGCCTTTAATAGGACGCTCGTAGGTGATCCTTAAGGGTTGATGAACCGGCCGTTATTGAGCCATTAACCCAACACAAGTATTATAATTCATTTTATTATTTTAATTAGTCAGTCTAATAGTTTTCTTTATATTGTATAACCATTCCGTGAACATTGACAAGGGTGAATAATACCAAGTATATAACTTATATTAAAATCCGGCATCATACTCAATTGAAGACCCTGTGCAAAATTGAAAATGAGGCCCTAAGTTTTTTTTATCATTATATAATCATTATTATATTATTACTTTCATCGTTTTTAAATAATAGTGTCCTTAGGTTTTTTGTGGGTTTTAAGATGAAAATAGTAGGCCCTAAAGGTAAATGAAAAGTAGAAAAGAGAATAAATTAAGAAAAGTAAAGTAATGACAAAGTATGAAAAAGAAAGTAGTTACAAGCTCGTTCCAAACTGTACGAGGGTTTTGTGCTAAATAATGTAATTAGGCCTTGTGAAATAAAGAAATCACACAATTGTAATTAACAATTGTACTTTAATTACATAAAAATATTACTATTTAATGTTTGTATTTAAAAAAATAATAATATAGGAATTTTTAATCAAATAAATAAAGATTTATTATATTATATAGACTATATTTAAATTTTTGGGCCTTCTGAAATTGAGAGGCTTTGTGAGATTGCACTTCTTGCACGCCCTCATCTACGGCCCTGATTATTTATTAATATTGCTATTAACATCACTATTATTATAATGATTTTATAATTAATGACCAGTCCGACAGCTTAACTACAAATTAAAGGTTAGTTAAGCTTTGTAACATGTTTCTTCCATAATAACATGTCAAATTCATTCTTGGAATTGGCTGTAAAATGGCAGCTTGATTTGTCCCTGTCTTATTACATTAACAAATTATATTAAAAATACTACCTTCTTTCCTATTATAACTTTCAAATAGGTTTGACACACAATTTAAGATAGTGAGTATTGTGTAGTGGAGAGTTGTGCAGAAAAGAGAGAAATGTGTAAGAAATGTTGTGAATCACATATTCTTTACCAAAAAGGGAAAGTGGAAATTTTAATTGGAACTGATCAAAAAGGAAAGTTGGAAATTATAATAGCAACAAACTTGATTGGACACTACAATTTTACGTGTAGAATTTGGCCATATTTGACAGCTACACTGGAGCATGCATCGAGTGCACGTGGAATCTGGTCACCCTCCCTCCCCTGCCAAAGGCAACCCATCCCCCCCGCACTGACGCAATCAATCCACAGAAACAAAAAAGGAATCAAAATCAAACCCCTGAAGCTAGAAATTCACCCCAAAACCCTCCACAAAAACCACTTCCTCGCTCGGACGTTCGTGCTACATACATACAGGAACGAAAATGGAAGGCTTGAGATCAAAATCATTCAGCGATTCCAAGGCGCAGGTGGTAGATTCGTACGGCTTCTCAAACCCTAACTCTGCCGGCCATCAGGATATCAGGTGCTACAGTGCTTCGTATGCCGCATCTTCGATCAGCAACGGCGGCGGCAGTACTGCCCCGACGAAGACGGGATCCGGAGATGTGAATCTGAAGAAGGGGAAGTCGATGAATGGATGGGTGTTCGGCGACCCTGAGCTGCAGAGGAAGAAGAGGGTGGTTAGCTATAAGGCTTATACTGTTGAGGGGAAGCTCAAAGGATCTTTGCGGAAGAGCTTTAGGTGGATTAAGGAGAGGTATGCTCAGGTAGTCTATGGCCGGAGGTGAGATTAAATCAGACCGAGCTGAGTTTTAATTTTCTTCCTACTTTTCCTGAACTTTGCTTCTTTTCTTTTTTAGATATTGTTAATATATGTATTCACAGCCTTGCGTAAGAATTAAGAAATGGTAATATGGATGCTGATTTAGCTTTCCTGATTAGATGTAATCGAGAGTATCATTTAATTATTTGTTCTTTATTGATGACAATTACTCTGCTCTAAATCTTCAATATGGGTTTTGTTAACCACAGGCTTATATACATCAATAAGAGATGAATATCCTTTATGATTTTCATAGAACTTAGTTCTATTATAGAAAGTAAATATTTCCTATAACTTCATAGAAAATTAGCCCTTGAGACTATGGTTAGGATTTTTCCTTTCAATAATGAAAGTATGGTTAATTCCCGTTGCTGTGAATACATACTCCAAAAAAAAAAAGCAGTTTTCCTTCGCAGTTTTCGATCCAATTCTCTACTTTCACTTTCTTATTTGCCAAACAGATTTCCTGGAAATGGGAAGAGAGCCTGTTCTTTAGTGATGTGGAGTAAGTAATACCTAACCAATTACCATGCGTAGAATTGAAGTCAGAATTGTCATCAACAGCTTAAATGTCACCAACCAATGCGTTAAATTTGTTGTCAAATGTCACCTTTCTCCCTAATCCCGGCCTTCTTGGTTCTTGAAAACTAGAGCAGCAAAGGTGAAAGTTTGATTGCTGAAATCACATGAAAATCTTCTCAAGTGTATTTCAACCATTACTTTATTCTTTATTCTTTATTCTAAATAATGAAAATAAATAAAGAGGCCGTTTGGCAACCCTCATTTTCGGCTTATCAGGCTTATCAGTAAACTTTTTTACCAAACACGTAAATTTTGCTTTCGCGCGCTGAATTGTGTAATAAGCCGAAAAAGTAAGGTTCGAGTTACCAGTGGCGAATCCAGAAAGTCGGAGCCACAGGGTCCCTACCCTTATATATCGTTGATCTCTAATTAATATAAAACTAATAAAAATATATTAAAGAAGCATAACACTTCAAAGTAATCAGACTTCGGTTGTTCAGATTGTTTCACAAAACATGCTTCAATACTTTGTTTTTGGTTCATCAAATCTTCCGATCTTTTCACCGCATTGTAATGAGGACCGTTAGGTTTACCAACATGTAAATAAAACCTCTTTTTTATTTCATGCTGAAAACCCAATTCCCAAAAATGATCACCACCAACTTCCCACTCATTCTTAAACAAATAAAATGCCTCATACAAAATGCATCATCTTTGACAATATTGTATTCCAACCATTTATGCTCATCAAACCAACTTGAAACAAATCTACGTTTATTGCCTCCAATTAACTTAAAAAGGAAATCATGGTCCCGAGGTTGAAACGGTCCTTTTTGAATGTAACTACGACATACCTCGTCTTGAACATTAGGGTGAAAATCAGCAATCCTTTTTCTCAATCCAGGATCAGCTTCCAAAGATTCAAAATCCTCATGTTGTTCAGGTAGATTATAAGCCAAATTAGCTTCACTTTCAGCAATTACTTGATCCAATTCTTCATTTACTGATGGTGGATCATTTGAATTAACGCCGGAACTACTCCCGGTACTTTGAGTTTCTTTAAATTTGGGTACAACATCAAAATATCTTTTCATCCTAAATCATATAAAATTGAAAATAACATTTATAAATACATGAATTTATTAATTTAATCTAACATTAAAAAAAGATATGCAAAAAAAAACAGTTTGGACTTTTGGTATATTTATATTTAATTTAAAAAATTGAAAACCCTAAGTTTTGAGCACAAAGAAAATCGCACCAAAAAACTTGAGAAACACCATTATTGTAGAAAAGAAGAGAAGAGTACCTTAATGGATTGGCCGCTTCCCGCTTGGTTGATGATGAAAAGGGAGAGACTGAGAGACAAAGACCGAGAATGCAGAGACTCCAGAGAGCCAGTCAGCCAGAGAGGGGTGTTCACCGTTCGGTGTTCCTGTTCCGTGTTCGCCAATCACCGCCGCCGGTGCCCCGTGGTCGTCGGATCGTCGTGCACTCGAGCAGTTCGCGCGCAGTTGGGGCGTGGGGGAATCGCAACCGCTGCTTCCACTCTTCCAGCAACCAGCGTGAAAGGAAAAGACTCAAAAGAGGGCTGAGTGTCTGGGTCTAAGTTTTGGGCCTAAGTTCCAAAAAAAACATGGGTCGGGCCTTCCATTAAAGATAAAAAACGCCCAAAAAAAATCAACGGGATTCGAACACAGAACCTCCTGTAACATAGACACTTTGCACGCGTGCCTTATCCCGTTCCGCTACTCCATTCTTGTTGTTCTAAAGTGGCTTTGTGTATTAAAAATACATTAAAAAATTAATTTTAAATAATATATATATATATATAATATATATAGGTTTTTCTCGGAGGTCCACGGGGTCCCGGGACCCCTTGGGACCCTTAGTGGGTCCGCCACTGCGAGTTACTTTTCTGGCTGTATTGGCTGAAGTTACTGTAGATGATCATTTTAGCTATTTTACATATAATTTTTTCTTTATTTTATTAATAAAATATATTTTAAAAATATTTTTTTCTTGTATCAGCAGAATCAGCCAATGCAGCCACTTCAATCAGAACTTCATAAATTTCAACAGAATCAGCCAAAACAGCCGATTTTCATGCTACCGAACGGGCTCAAAGAGTAGAGCTTTTTTTTCTTTCTAGAGCAACTTTTCTAAGTGATCATTTTTCATATAGTTTTATTTATTTTATTAATAAAATACATTTAAAATATACAAGTACATAGTATTACGTAACTATTTAATAGTTCAGCATATTTACTCAACTTAGAGTTGGTTTGGTAACCAACTAACCACGAAGTTTCCTACATGCGGTAAATCTATTGAATTGCTGAAGTTATGATTGAAACGTTCAGCTGAATATATTGAAATATGGAAAAACTACCGCTAACATGTGCCTACATATATATTGCAAATAAAATTCAAGAAAATATATGGTGAAAAATTCAAAGGAAGCTAAAATTGCCCTCTTCATCAACTCTAGTATAAAAAGTAATTTTAAATATATGTATTCTCAAAATACACAATTCGAAGCGGAAAATTAAAAGCTTGGTGCAGAATTGATTACTAATTGATATCATGCACTAATTGATATTCCTTTTGTATGTATGATGTAAACATACGGACATACGGTACGTTCTGATGTTTCAACAAATGAGCTGGTAGAATTTAAGTTGATGTAAATAAGCATTGTTTGTCGTTTTTTTGCTAACTTATTATGTTTTATGTTAAAGCATGAACGGGAATGTTGACCGGGAGTGTCACAGTGATGTCATCAAAACATTATTTGTATTTAAATATGGGCAATTGTCGAAAATTTTAAAAAAGGGATGCTATAATTTACCGGGGAAATGATGAGGGGTGGACCGGTGGGCACAAAACGGCCACTCAATTCATAGTTATACAGCTACACTGTCATTGACCGCTATTGGTCTATGATTTACAGTACAAAATAGAATTTAATTGTGCCCAACCCCAAGACTCGGCCCGACAAAACACAAGGGGAAGTGTAATTAATTGATGGCAACTCGGCTAAATACAAAACATTATTTACATTTTGGGGGGAGGGTGAAGATCATCGTCCCTTGGTTTTAGGAACAAAGCTGATGATAACAAAAAGTGGACTAGCGGAGAGCTTCACTGCGTCCATGACGTTTATTTCATTATTTGTACATTATCTGGACTAATCTCTACTTAAAAACACCTGCAATGTCATTTCATCCGTTAAATTAATTGACTACACCTACAATGAGGATATGCTTTCATTTTGATAAATACAACTCTAAGGAAGCGTTTACTTCGCTGCTAAAATCACAGTTAGGTTAGTAAGACAGATGAAGTAAACACGCAATTGCTTAAAACGCTGCTTACTAATCGAAAGAGATGCTTAAAATGCCGCTTACTAAGCATAACACCCCCCATGTATTAATTAAGCGGCACTTTAAGCTTTTTCATTTTCCGAATTTACTCTTACCTTTACCCCTTGTCCTTACCCTATTGCTACCCAACTACCCCGCCCTACCTGATCCCACCCTGAACTCCACCCTTGACCCGACCATACCCCACCCCACCTACCTCGACCCCTACACCACCTGCCCTACCCCACCCCCCCTCACCCCTTACCCTACCCATGTACCCCCTACCACCTTCCCCTACCTTGACCCGAACCCGACCCCACCCCCGCCCCTACCCGTTTACCCCCTCACCCCGACCCCACCCCTTACTATCCCTGTACCCCCTACCACCTTCCCCTACCTTTATCCGACCCCAACCCTACCCCGCTCCTACCCCTTTACCCCCTACCTCCACCCCCACCCTCCCCCTTCCCCTACCTTGACCAGACCACGACCCCACCCTTACCCCTGCCCCCTTTCCCTAAACCCGACCCTACCCCTACCTCGACCACCCCTAACCCCACCCTTGACCCGACCATACCCCACCCCACCTAACCCCTACCCCGTACCCTCCACCACCTGCCCTACCCCACCCCACCCTCACCCCTTACCCTACCCCTTTACCCCTACCACCTTCCCCTACCTTGACCCTAGGGCTGCACAAGAATAACCCGAACCCGCATAACCCGCCCGACCCAACCCTACCCGATCCTATTTAATCAGGTATTTGATTTTTAAAAATATTCATGGGTTAAATATGTTTGAACCCGCATCTAATGGGTAGAGCTGTGAAATTAAAATCTCAAACCCGGTAGTACTCGACCCGGCCGAAGTTCATTTTACTATTATTATGCTACAACGTTTTCTTGGATAATTTCAATTTAAGACCAATGTGCTCTATCTAGGACTTTATGATATTAGAATTATAATTAAGCATTTATCATTTTGACTAGGTGATTATTATATACTCCCTCCGTCACATAAAATAAGTCACATTTTCCTTTTTGGGCCGTCCCAAAAAATTGTTCCCATTTCCCTTTTTGAAAAATTTTGTGTGGCTAACATTCATTTACTTTTTTCTTACTCAACCACAACCATACATTTCCACTTTATTCCCACTTTCTTAAACTCCGATCCAAATTGAAATTGGACATATTTTATGGGACGGAGGGAGTATTTTCTTTTCCTTCTAAATGAACTTCCTTTATGGAAGAATGTTTTAATACTATTACCTAATGTTTTTGCTTATAAAAGATACAAGTACTTGTATTTGTTTGTGTGTTTTGGAAACAAATTAATCAAATTTTAAATTGGTTACATTAATTTCCCACATGAAAGATGCAACCCGAAGTGGTTTTTTCCCCCAATACCCGACCCTACCCGACCCGTTCATGTATGATTTACCAACTCGTTTTGCGTACAACGGATTGGCTAATAACCAACCCGAACATATCGGGTAGACCCAAAAAATATAGCAAACCTGACCCTGACCCTAACCCCACCCCCTACCCCTACCCCATGCTCCTACCTCGACCCACCTCTACCCCCACCCTTAACCTGACCATACCCCACCTTACCCCTACCCCTACGAGTTGGGGGATTGATATGGGTGTGAGTAGGGGTGGAGGGTAAGATCGTGGTAAGGGTAGGGAAGGGGTGGGGATCAAGGGTGTGGAATTGGGGGTAGGGTGAGGGGTGGGGGTACAGGGCGGGGTGGGGGTTAGGGGTGTGGGTAAGCGACTAAGCGTACGAGGTGACCTCACATATTATATTATATACTTGTGTTCATGAATGTTTGTGTGTGTATGTATCTATAGGTTATTTTGAACATTTTAATGTTAAACGGTGTTTTAAATCCTTTGAAGTAAACATGAACTTACAACACCGCTTATTTTATGCACCGCTTATTAACGCGAGTCTTAATAAGCACCGTTTACTAACCCGTGAAATAAATATGTCCTAAAAGAGATAAGTCATTGCTCTTAATTGTTCTGTTCAATCAATTGTTAAGACTTTTGTTGACTACAAAATTTCAATCATATTTTATTGAAACAAAATAGTTCTCGAAACCCTAGATTAAATCATACTTCCTCCGTTTTTTTTTAAATGCAACGTTTCACTTTTCACGTTTGAAAGCGCACAAGTTTGATCATTGATATCTTTCGTTCCTTATTAATAAAAAAAATAAAAAAATAGATTTTGAAAATTTAAAATGAGAGGAATTGACGTTTTTTTTTAAATTTAATTTGTAATACATTAATAAATAAAATTGAGTCAAAGTATAACATGTGAATAATGGAAAAAGTCTAATGTTGCATTTAAAAAAGAACGGAGAAATAATACTAGATATTTTGTTGGTTATTTCACTCTTTCTTTTTGGGATTGTACAAGTACTACTTTTGTTTACAAGATTCCGTACTTCGCAGAGTGGCTAAATTAAAAAGAAATGCATGAAACTAAAATTAAAAAGTAAAACCACAACCACTTCAATAGAGACTTGTCCGACACTCCGACCATGATAAAAAGAGTTACATTGTATCTTACACGAGTACGTATGCCGTACGTCCGTTTGTACGTTGCTCACCGTACAATAGGATATTTTATCTTATACTTGAATGAATATAACGTTTAAAAGAAATTTGTATTTGTATTAAATCACTGTTTTGATAACACAATTAAATATTAGAAATGTGCAGTATTATGATCTACACGTAATATATATGCTACAAATCATCTTATTATGCTAATTTTATAATTTAATAATTTCAATACTCATTTCATTTGAAGTTTTGAACTATATGCTCACTAAGTACGAACTAAAGTATCCACTTGTACCATGTGCATGGCACAGCCAAATATACCATTTACGATCTTATACTCTACTCCCTCCGTCCCATAAAATTCTTCCCACTTTCCTGTTTGGACCGTCCCAAAAAATTCTTCCTACTTACCATTTTTGAACAATTTGTGTGGTTCACATTTATTTCACATTTTTCTTACACAACTACAACCACACATTTCCACTTTATTCTACTTTCTTAATCTCCGTGCCAAATCAAAGTGGGAAGAATTTTCTGGGACGGAGGTAGTATCATTTATTTATAAAACTTTATTACTACGTAGTTTCCAAATTACTACTTCAAATAGAGTGCAAAAATGTCAAATAGCTTGCTACTTTTTAATTAAATAATGCTAAAATAAATAGTAACGGTAACGCTAATAATTATTATAATAGTAATAATAATAATAATGATAATAACAAATTAGGGCACCGCTACTTAGCAAAATCCTAATCTATCCAATAATCTCACATACCTTCTAGTTGCTTAACATAGTATTTCGGCCATCGTATAATAGGATATCTGCCATTTTATCAAAATCACCCGCCCCAAAAAGTAGAATGTTGCTATAAAATGTTACTACCTCCTTCCCTAGTTGTGATGTTTCAATTTGGCAAGTGATTTAAAAGTGATTTAAAAGTAAAAGTTGTGATTGAGATTTGAGTAGGATAAAGTAAAATGAGAACGACCACATATTTCTAGCCAAAAAAGGAACCAGGCCATTCATTTTGGGACAACCTAAAAAGGAAATTAGGGAATATTTTTTATTTTGATAAATACAACTCACAGTCACTAGTCTTAATTGTACTTTCATACGGAGTATTTCTATTTGGACAACTATATCTATCAATATTTACTTTTTTTAAAGACTCATTGAATTGAAGGTACAATCACGGCAGAAGTGCCATTTTTTAGAACAGATTATATACTCCACAAACACCGGCTAAGTTCCACTATTTCTTGAAAAGAAAAGCATGAAAATGATTGAAGTAACACAACCGTCACTCTTTAACAATGAGTTAATGACTCATGCTAGCATGTCAGAGAAAGTTAAATTCTAGCGTAAACTCATTTATAATTTTTTTACTTCTCTAATTTGCTAATTTTTATTTAAAAATTCCCAAAAAAAGAGTAAACTACTTGAGCCTATAAGCCATACGCAGAATGATCAGTAGTTTCAGATTCATCTTTTGATTTACCAAGTCTTATGTAAAAAAAAATGAGTGAGCAATTTCCTTGGATTACTTACAATAGGATCTTTGCTAGTGAAGCCACTTCCAATCCATCTAAGCAAACTGTGCTTCACACATGTCGGCCATAATTTCTCATCTGGCCTTCTTCGCCTGTGTAAAGAGCAAAGTTAGTAGAAATCAGGTAATGCCAAATTAAAATTCCGGTTCACTCATCACTTGGATCAAAATTTAGGGAAGTAGTGCTATTTTGCTTTGATTTTATAGTACAGAATGGGTAGCTTTAATATGAGGGAAAATCAGTATCAGTAATTTCACCCTAAAATATATATGTGGTGTGCAACCATGTGTAGCATTTTATAAAGTGACCATAGGGCATTTGACTGTAATGTTACCCGACTGGCGTTCCACACTGGAGATTATGGGGGGCATCCATGCGCCAGTTCCAGAACCATGACTCTATAACAAACAAATAAGTTTAAACTTTAAACACTACAAGAGATAACTTACAAAAAATCTGCATTAACTTAAAAAGTATAACTTACAAGAGATCTAGAAGGAGGAGCTTCCATTTCTGTTTGCTGATATTTCAAAATAGTCCAGTCGAAAACATAGTCATACTGAAATCCTGCATACGCAAAATAAAAACATGTACAGACTACATAGCACTGGAGTGGGAGCCATTGTGGACTAGGGTAATGATGATGAATGAATGGATGTACACACTACATAGGCAAGTAGGTTTCTGTTTCTCTCGAGTAAAACACAGTCAAGATGGAACTATTTTCTCAAGGGAAAAATAGTACTTCCAAAACAAAGTCTTATTTCATCAAGGCTTTTCAAATTTTGAATAAATTTAACTTTTTCAAAACTTTTATTTTGGACAGTTGCATGAAAAATTAGCCCTGCTTAATGAAATAAAACTTGTAATTTGGGACAAAGTTTTTTAACTTCTTTTTGGGATGGAGGGAGTATTTACTTTAGGTATTCACCTTTGCGGAAGAACCGCGTGAGGAATGAGACAATCAGACAAAGGGTGGGAGTAGCACCTATTGAAGACAAGATGTGAGAGTCGTGCCTACGGTGGTTTGGTCATGTGCGTAGAAGACCGAGTGATGCACCTGTCAGACGAGTTGAGATGTGTGGAGAAGAGGCAAGGAATAGAGGGAGAGGAAGATCCAAACAGACGTGGGTTAGGGGAGTTCGAAGTGACATGCTTTTTCTGGGGTTGGATGAGGGCATGACTTTGGAGAGAGCTAAGTGGAGGGCGGGTATTCGTGTGGAGGAGTGATCTCGTATCATCTTTTCCTCTCATCTTTTTTCCTAGTTTTTTATCCTTATATATATATATATATATATAAGCATTATTTGTATCCTTTTTATTTTATCATTTTTATGTATATTCATCTCTTTTTATATTATCTTTTTATAATAGCTTATCTTTTTTATCTTTATTTTCTTTCTTTTCCTTTTGGTGGTGATATCATGTATCGATTCATGTTAGCCGACCCCAATATTTTTTGGGTCTAAGGCTTGGATGTTGTTGTTGTTGTATTCACCTTTGCGGAAGAAGAGGTCACGGAAATGTCCCCTGAGATAAGCATAATCTGGTTTGTCTTCAAAGCGTAGGGAACGACAGTACTCAAGATATGAAGCAAACTCTGTAGGATATCCTCGACATAAGGCCTATTAAAAAAGACAAATATTCAGCAGCTTTCCTTTTAACACACCAAATAAAATTAGAGTCAACATGCATTCATGTTTGCGAATAGCCTTACATCAATAGGGATAGACATCTTCATTCCACTAATCCTCCCATACTTGCACCGCTTGTTCCCTGCCTTTATTCCCTGCCAAGGAAGACTGTAAATAAATGTGTCAAAAGATATGCTAGGCGAAAATCTTGAACTAGGGCCGTAAATGATAAGAGCCACTAGCACTAAGGGCCCGCAAGCGTGGATATAAAATCAAATCAGATAAGTGCTGAACTGATTTGATCACGGTTAGGCTCAGGATAAGATTGGATGGTCTCACTCTCAGCCTTCAATCTCAACATACTAAGGGTATCTTTGGGTCCAGGAAAATGCAAGGAAAAAGAGAGAGAAATGCAAGAATGTTATTTTTTGTTTTACGTTTTACTTCAGAAAATGAAAAGGAAAATGATTATGATAAATGCTTTTATATTATATTATTATCCCCAAATTTTCTTTTCTTCCAAATTTTCCAATATTATCCTTTCTATTATCTTTCCTTAGAATTTTCCAAGTTCCAAACGAACCCTAAGTTACCAGGGTTGGCTCAAATAAACCAATTTTCTAATCATCCATAAACATATTCTCCAGTAGTTATTACCTTCCTCTCAGGAAGTACAATAGAACATATCCAAGAGATTCCAGATCATCCCTCCTACTTTGTTCTGAAATGTCATTCACTTTTTTAAGTTAGTGCAAAGAGAATTGAAAAACATAGAAAGGATAACTATGTGTTCCAAAGGTCAAATGTTTACCGCGACCAAGGTGAGTATTAATGCTTGCATATCTTGCCGTTCCTGTCAATTTCTTTTTATCTCTGAAAAACCATGAACTCATGCTCATTTGAGGAGCAAAGTGAAATATATAGAGGTTGCAAGAGTATTTCCACCCGAACACAACACGTATACAAAAGCAGCAACTTTTTATTGAGTACCTACCTGTAAGAGATGTGCTGGTGAGTTGAAGTGTCTCTATACTTCTTCGCCAAACCGAAGTCAATTATGTAGACCTGCTTTTAAGACAAAATTTTAGTCAAAAAGATCTACAATTGTATACAAAGAAGAAAAAGATCAATGAACTAAATCATAACAAGACCTGATTTGAACGCTCTCCTATTCCCATGAGAAAATTTTCTGGTTTGACATCTCGATGCAAAAATGATCTACTATGTATGAACTCAATACGATTGATCTGATGTAAACAATTAAAGAACATATATCAACATGTGAAAAGGGGAATTGGTCCACAAAAACGTGCAAATAAAGAACTTACCATTTGATCCGCAAGCATGAGAACAGTTTTCAGAGTAAACTTCATGCTACAGAAGTTGAACAGATCTTCAAGACTGGGGCCAAGCAAATCCATGACCATCACATTGTAGTCTCTTTCGACCCCAAACCACCTCACATTTGCAATTCCAGCTACAACATAAAATATACAATTATAATTCCACCATTGGAGGTAAAATAAACGGAGCATGTACGTCAAAGTTATGTAAGCTAAAACAAAATCTATTACTTCCTCCTCGTAAAATCCGGTATAACTTTGACTCATACAGTAATTGTGGGTGGCTTGTCTGGACATTTTCCTGCAATATCACAAATCTATCAGTTTTTATGTAGTTAGATAGCTAACAGGGTGCAACTGGAACTGATTTCTAGTCAAAAAACATCCAACAAGTGACTAGAAGAGCATTTTGGTCTTTATGGTAGTGAAAGTGAGTCTTAAGGAAACGGTCAGTTTGAGAGAATGTGCAGTGGTTATATTTGAAACATTTGAAAACTAGACTGTTCTCCTAATTCTTGCAGTTGCAATTCACAAGAACAACCACGATCTGAATATAAATGATGACTACAATACAACAAATTGGGAGGGAGATTAAACACAAAAGGAATCCTTTTATCTAGTGATGATCAAATGGTAAAGCAAGTCAGAAGCAAGCATCACCATCATAGCAAGCTAACAACAATTAAAATATCAGTGCTTTAGAAAAATAAATCAAAATAAACCCATAATTGACATGTCAATGATTTAATATTTAACCATACATCTAAATACGGAAGCAAAATTTTCCTTCTTTCTCGCCATAAAAGTGAAAATAGGGATTTAGGGATGAAGGGATAACACATCCAATTTGAATTGACAGAATCAGTGCATACTGCTAATTCAGAATACCATAAGAACTCGAAATAGCAATACAGAACTTACTAAAACGTACATACCGTGACAAAAATCCAACTGATAACTTGTTGATTTGAGCGGGTTTATTTTATCAGTGTTGGGAGAAAATGACCCTTAATTGTAAGCTAATCGTTTTGAATAAGAAGGTATCCAACGAATACTTTATTAAATGCCTAAATGGCTTTCCAAATACTTGGTAAAATAAGGCTTTGAAGCAAAAGTGTTCTTAACATTATGAATAAAAAACGTTATGAAAACACAAGTGCGCAACATTTTAAACCATAAAGCACCACTTGAAATGGTCTGCCTAGGATATGAAATGATACGGCATAGAAATAGACTTCAATACGAATCCAGGGTATATACCAAAAGTTCTCGAATAGGTCATCATCATCATCATTATACCCCAGTACGGTGAACTAGAAAAAACACAAACAAATATGGATAAGCTTATTTTTAAGCAGAGAGCTAACTCACAAGCTTAATTGCTACCTCCTCATTCGTCTGCAAATCAGTAGCTGTATCAAGAGAACCAGAAAGGTTATTCAAAATCAAGCCAGTCTCTGGAAATTCCAGGAAGCGTACACCTATAAACTAGAAATAACAAAGTATGCGTACCGATAAAGATCTCTCCGAATGAGCCACTGCCAATTTTCCGTCCGAGTCTGTACTTATTTTTAACGAGAGACTCCATCACCAGACGAAGAACCCAGTCAATACGGTTGCGAGACGAAATGACGAATGCACTTTTAAAATTAAAATATAAAGAGGGTTACGTACACGAAGAACAGATATCCAATTACGAAGAACAGATATCCAAACACCAAGAATAGAGTTCTCTATATATGAGTTTTTTTTATAGAATAATGTTAAATAAATAAATAATTATGAAATTAGGGTCCGCTTAAAACAATTTACCAAAATACTGCTGAAATAAACTAGGTTTGGAGAAAGTCGACAAAATATTTGCCGACTCTCTAAATAATACCAGTTCGTATACGGTACAACCGGCGCACCTTGAGCATCATGCTCCACTCCCAAAAACGACGTAGTTTTCCACAATTTTAAAAAAAAATCGCGTAAACAGTACGCGCGTGTACAGTAGTTTTTTTTTTTTTTGCTTTTTGCCCCAGTAGCATGAATGATGTAACTCGCGTGTAAAGATATGTAGGTCGCGTTATTGATCAATGTAACTCAAGTCCGTTCGAAATGTAACTTACCAAATAGAGAGTATGAGAAATAAAATATTGATTTCAATGTAAACAATGAAAAATGAAAGTCTAATTGCACAATTGCTTTAGGTAAAACGGGAATATATTTTATTTTTAATGTCATGGCCATTAAAAATTATTTTTTAGAAAAGATCATTTTTATGTTTCAATAGCAGGGGTTGATTTTTTAATGTATCTCGTGTTATTTATTACAAATGTTACTCGCATTGATGCAAATGTAACTTATGTGAATACAAAATGTAACTTCTTGGAAAATTGAACAATGATTTTTTTTGTGTTTGGAATATTATAAACATTGATTTCAATGTAAACAATGAAAAAATGATCCTAATAGCTTAATTACTTTTTTATAAATAGTGAATATGTTTTATTTTTAATACTAGGACAATAAAAATGATATAGCTGGAGTTTAATCCGTGGTGTAACTCGCATACATTAAGATGTAACTCGCGTATATTAAGATGTAACTCACGTACATTAAGATGTAACTCGCGTACATTAAGATGTAACTCGCGCAGAAAAAGATGTAACTTAATGATATATTATCAAATGTAACTTCAAGAATCAAAATAAACAAACTCAATGTCATAAAACCTCTAAAAACAATTAAAAGTGATAAAAAATATTATAGAAAAAGTGTATGCATATAAAAAATATTACAAAAAAGTGCATGAACATAAAAAGTATATTACAAAAAAAATATGAATACAAAAATATTACAGAAACAAAAATAGTGTATAAATATGAAATGCAGTATACATATTTTATTTAGATTGATAAACTTTTTGATACTAATATTGACACTTTCAGAATTTAATTTTACTAACATATTCCTTTAAGGAGCAAGAAATTAAAAAAAGAAAAAATTCTTTATATGGTAAATCATACTACGTAATTATATGGTAATAGGAAAAAGAAAAGGTCACAAGGATATCAAAGTAACTAGTGGTTGGAATACTCAGGAAGAAGTTGAATTAAAAATAAACAAAAAAAAAATGGCTACAAAGTGGGAATGAACGTGAAAGCAACGGAAAAAGAAATCAAAGCCTAAAGTGGGATCGACACACCATGCGGAAGGTGAGCCGATCACACGGTATAATTTGCGAAATAATACGGAGGAAGTGCAGTTCGTATACCGTGGGAGCAGTACACCTTGAGCATGATGCTCCCACACAACCAAATTCACGTGTTACAGTTCACGCGGGTGAACAGTGACTTTTTTTTTCATTTTCCATTAGCAAAATGATGTAACCCGCGTGATGGATCGTCTACCCGGGGGTATATGTCCGAAGGGTTATTGCGGGAAGTAATCTAGAGAGAAGTCAGAGCAAGTAGATGAAAGTAGAGAGAGTATATTCAGTGTGTTAAGCGTGGTTACAAATGAGGAAATGGGGTGCTATTTATAGCAGCAATAAATGTCGGACAGGGACACGTGTCAAGCGCTCATTGGCCGAGGGGTCACCTCAACTGGTTGGCGCTGGCAGCCGCATGTGGCCGCATTTAATGCGGCTGTTGGATGGGACGTCTGTGCAGAGTACGGTGATCTGTACGCATGTGAGGCGGATATCTTGTCGAGTGAGATGCCTTCGGCTATAGAGCAGTAGCCGAGGGCTCTTCCTCCCGATGGCACCCCTGGTGCCGAGGGCTCACAGTGCCGAGGGCTGCTGTTTTCGCCGTTTTCTCCCAGTTTCTTAGTTTGCTTGAGAAACCCGTTCTGTGAGAATTTGGAGCCTTCGGTCAGGGGGCCGAAGGCACCCCTGTGCGTTGTGCGGACTGCTTGGTACTCCGGGCGCTGCGAATTGGGCCTGTTGGGCCTTTTGGGCCTGTTGGGCCTTTGCTGGAGTAGTAGGAGTCTGTGGGCCGGGGGTTCCCGGGCCATATACTCCATCAGGAGTCCCTCACTCCTTTTGCCGAAAGGTACTTGAGGGAAAAGGAGTAATTTGTGCTTGCCCTTTGATGTTGTCCCGTTGTGATCTCTGAAGTTGGTGAGGGGTTGTTGCTTTTATGTCCCTGCCGAAGGCAGTCCCTCAGTTACCCACATGTCGGGACTTGAGGGCTTGATTTGTTGTTTGTTGGAATTTCACAGATTTTGTAATTTAATGATTTTCCCGAAGGGGTCCTCCAGTCCCCCACTCCTTGAGGCACTTGTAAAGTGGTGAAAAGGAGTAAAGTAGTTACGTTGCTGTTATGGGCCGAAGGCTGACGCTTTTTGTTTCATTTTGGGGGGATGCCTCGTTAAAAACCTCATTAGGAAAAACCCTTTGGGAAAAAATCCTAATGAGGGAAAAAGAGTGCACCGAATTCCCCCAATGATGAATCGAAAATATCAAACCTTGGTAATAAATGGAGAATGACGGGAATCCCGAAGGCTCTCTCTTCTGAGGGCTCCTGTGTTGATTAGCCGAAGGCTGGCTGTTGATGTCCTGGTGGCGCCGAAGGGGAGCCCCTCAATCCAGGGATCGAGGGCCTGCAGATGAGGGCAGCAGTGAAGCTGTTACCGGGGGGTCCACTGTTTGTTGATGAAGTGGTGATGAAGATACCCGAGGGCTCCCCATTACCTGTGTGCCAGGGGCCATCCGTCAATGAGGAAACTCCCCGGGGGCTACCCGGTTTTGCAGTGCTGAGGGGGAAACCCCGAGGGGTGCCCTGATATGCAGCCCTAGGGATCTGAAGGGGTGATCCCGAAGGCGTGTGTAATGTGCTGTGTGGGCACAACCCGGGGGCACTTCTGGGTGAGTGCGCCCGGAGGCTGTCTTTGCTGAAGTGGAGTGAAGTAGAAAACCCGGGGGCTTCCAAAGTATAGCCGTTGGAAATATAGCCGTTGGAATACGTAACGACAGGATATAGCCGTTGGGGGGATGGCACACGTGGCGTGTGATGGCTGGCTGTTCGTGGGCGGCGTCACCGGTTGGGTGAAACGACGGTGCGTAATGATGGTGTCCATCCGGAGGCCCGGAATCCAGGCCCAAGCCCGGATTCTATCGCCTATAAATACCCCAAGGCCAGGCATTCCTCCGTGTGCGAAAAACCTGTTAGCGAAGCTCTGCCAATTTTTCTAGAGAGAGAAACAGCAGCCTTCGGTCCTAACTCAGCTTTCGAGGTCAGTGCTCCCTGCCTTTCTCCTTCTAGCATAGCTGTACTGTGCCCTTAGTTTAGGAGATAGAAAAGTTAGGAAACACTACCGTCTACGAGCCCTCGAACTAGGGTGCGAATGTCGTCCCAGAGTGACTCTCAGGACATCTCGAGGACGCCCTCGATGGAGGACGAAGGCATCTCCGATGTGGAGTCAAGCAGTGGTCAGCCCTCGGATTGTGGTGATGCAGCCCTCGCCACTGAGGTGCAGAAGGATCTGACGGCTGAGGCCGAGGCGGAGGAATTCGAGCGAACTGCCGAGGACGAAGAGTTGGCCCTCGCCGTCCAAGTTGCTGAAGAGGAGGAGGAGAAGGAGAGGGTGAAGGTCACTGTGGCCGTCCTTCCCCCTCGGGGTGCTGGTGAGGCCAGTACTTCCCAGCCGCTGAACGCGGTTCCCATCCGGGTGGCCCCCGGGAAGAAGAGGGCCAAGGCGGCTGTCCCCAAGAAGAAGGTCATAGCTGCTGATCAGGGGAAACCCGTAGATATGCCGGAGGGGTATTCCTGGCTCAACACGGCTGCCTTGGAGATAAGGTCGAAGGCGGACAGGGCGGACCTCTACGTGACGCAGCTACATGTAGGGCCCTCGGCCGAGGTGGTCGAGCCGGGAGTTGACAATGTGCTCTCTCGGGCGCCTGAAGGGTGCATTGCAGTACACGTGCTGTCGGTCTCCATGGGCCTTCGGTTCCCGCTGCACCCCTTCCTCCGGGAGTACCTGAGGTTCGTTGGCTTGGTGCCCTGCCAGCTGACACCTAATAGCCATTCCTACGTGGCGGGTTTTTTAAACCTCTGTAGGGACCGAGGGGTGACCACCAGCCTGGACTTGTTCTTCCAGAGCTTCAACCTCTGTCGAGGGGGTCACGCGAATGCCGAGGGCTTCGCCAACCTGCAGCAGGTGGCCAGGTGGAAGCTGTTTACGGAGGCGCCTTCGTCAAACAAGGGCTGGAAGGAGCGCTGGTGCTATGTCAGGGTTGCTGAGAACCCATTCCCGATGGAACTTCGGGATCGCTTCCGTCGGCATCCGAAGGTTGGAAGCGCCGCCCTCGAAAAAGACGGCCTGGTGATAGCGAAAATCCCGGAGGGTCGCACCAAGCAGGTCTCCATCAAAGACTATACTGCCGACAAGGGATTCTACGCCCTCGGCTTTCGGAGATACCGATTTATTGGTGAAGCGGATGAGAAGTACCCCGTTTTTGCTGAGGCCTTCGGGGGAACAGGAGGTAGTCTACGAGGTCCCTTAGCACATAGCTTATCCTGTTCGTGTTTTTTTTTTTCCTTTTGTTCTTTGTGCCTTCGGTCAGCGACCCCTCGATTCTAACCCCATTCCTTTGTTTTTCGCAGGTGTCCCAGTGAAAATGATGAATGTTAGAGGCCTTGCAGACTTGAAGAAGAAGAAACCCTCCAAGGGCCCGAGGGGGACGGACGCCGGTGTCCCAAAACCCACCGGTGACTTCTTCAAAA